CCATTCCCAGCTTTGTTTTTGAGACAAGGTCTCAAATGTAGCCGAGGCTAGCCTTGACCTTCTTATGATCTTCCTACTCCAGCCTCCCAAGTATGGGGGGTGACAGATGTGTGGTCACTATGCCCAGCAGTGAAACATCCTCTTGCTTTGTGACCTTGGGCAAGCCACTTCCCTTCTTTGAGCTTTACTTTCCTCCTCATTATATCCAAGCCTCTTCAAATGGCCTTTCTTGCCAGACATGATAGCTCACGCCTTTAATCCTAGCTCATAGAAGGAAGAGGCATGTAGATCTCTGAGTCTGAGGTTTATCTAGCAACTTCCAGGCCAGCCAGAGCTGAGACATTGTCTTAAAAACAAAACAAAGCATGCCTTGCCTCCTCCTGTCTATGCTACAATACCCTTGAGAACGAGGAGCTTATTTCTCTCACTAACCTGAAGCCGGGTACTCACTACACATCTGGAGGAAGAATGAACAGGGAGAGTGATGCCTGCAAGAGGAGCCAGAGAAGATTCGTAGGAGAATGGGGGCGGGGGTGTCCAGCAGGCTGCTTAGCATTTCTCAGGAAGAACCAGGAAATGTGGACTTTGGAACCAAAAGTCCCCGTAGTCACTGCTGCCCTCCTGTCCGGGGTCTGCAGGTCGGTTTGAAGCCTCTGTGATCGAAGAAAGGCGCAAGGGTGCAGAGGACTTGCTGCGCTTCACAGTACCCATCCCTGCACTCAACAACAGTCCCCAGCTCAAGGAGTTTTTCCGGGTAAGTTCATCTGCTCACCCCACCTCCTCAGCCCCAACCAGCTAGATTCCTGACTCCTCTCCCATGCTGGACTTTGTCTCCTGCAGGGTGGGGAGGTAACACGGCCCTCTGAGGTGTCCAGGAACCTGTGCATACTGCCTCCCCCTCTCATTCCTACACCACCTCCTGATGAGGCCCGGCTACTCCAGCCACTGCCTGCGGAAAGGAGGGGCCAGGAGGAGTTGGATGTGCCAGGTATATCAGGGTCATGGAAGGGAGTGAAGTTCTCCCAGGGATCTCAAGGAGAAGTATAGGGGGCAGTTCTACCACTCACCTGGGTGGGATGGAGGGATGGACTCTGAACAAGGACATTTTTCTTTTCTGGGCTTCGGTTTGCTAATCTGTAAAACAGGCCCAAACCTAATAGTAGCCTTATCTGTACCCAGGGTTTCAGCAAGGACTAATCAAGACAGAGATTCTGTTTTGAGAGCTGAGAAGCAGTAGGTGTAGGCATTAATGTCCCCCTGGTCTCTCCTCAGTGGATCCCCTACCGTCTAGCCCTGCCCAAGAGGCCTTGGATCTTCTCTTCAGCTGTGACAGCACTGAGGAAGCATCCAGCTCCCCAGCCCGAGGTCCCCTCTCTGAGGCTGAACTTGCCCTTTTCGACCCTTACTCCAAAGAGGGTAAGGAGCAGGTGTGGGGTAAGAGGAGCTAAGGGGCAGGAAGGGAGTACATGCCATCTGTGTAAGCCCCGTGGCACTGCTACTCTGAAGCCAGGCTGGCAGCCTCCATGGCCATGAGCAGCATTGAGCAGCTGTGGAGGAGTTGAGCCCTCCTCTCTGAGCAGACTCAGGGTAGCGCAGCATCATAGTGTTCTGTTGTTCATGAACCTGCTGTGGCCCTGGTGGCAGAATCCGAGGCAGAAGCAAAGGCAGGAGGATCTCTGAATTTGAAGCTGGCATGGTCTACATAACAGTCCAGGTCAGTAAGGGCTACATAATCTCAAAAACAAAACTAAACAGACAGAAAATGGAATCTTGCCCCAGTCAAAGGGGGTGAGGTCCGGGATCGAAGAACAATAGGTATGAGAACTCCCATGGTGACCTGGGGGGCCATCAGAGTCAGGCCGGTTCCCAATACAGGTCAGAGTACTTAACTCCTACTTGCAAATCCCTAGCAAAGAGACACTAAAGCTTAGTTTATTCTAAAATTCACTGACTACAACTAGGGTGTTAGAGTGGCTAACTGCACTAGGGACATGGCTTAGTTGATAAGAATGCTTGGTTGGCGTGCATGGAGGCCTGGGTTCAATTTCTAGTGCCGCTTTACAGGGTTTCTCTGTGTAGCCCTGGGTGTCCTTGAATTGTCTGTCAACCAGTCTGGCTTCAAACTCATAGAAATCCAGCTTGCAAGCTGGGCGTTGGTGGCACACTCCTTTAATCCCAGCACTTGGGAGGCAGAGGCAGGTGGATCTCTGTGAGTTCGAGACCAGCCTGGTCTACAAGAGCTAGTTCCTGGACAGCCTCCAAAGCCACAGAGAAACCCTGTCTCGAAAAACCAAAAAAAAAAAAAAAAAAAAAAAAAGAAAGAAAGAAATCCAGCTTGCTCTGCTTGTTGAGTGCTGGGATCAAAGGAGTGTGCCACCACCACCCAGTTTTATTTCAAACAAAAATAAGGGCCTTCAAGATGGCTCTGTGGATAAAGGTACTAGCCAATAAGCCTAATGCCTTGGACTCATGATAGAAGGACAGAACAGATTCTGGCAAGTTGCCTTTCACACACACACACACACACACACACACACACACACACACACACTACTTTTTGTTTTAATCGGAAAGCTGGATATGGTGGCATATACCTTTGATCCCAGCACTCAGGGAGTCAGAGGCAGGCAGATCTGTGAATTCAAGATCAGCCTAGTCTACACAGCAAATTACAGAATAACCAGGCCTACAGAGTGAGACCCTGCCTTTAATACAACAAAAAAGGTAAAGTGTCACATGGCTATATCCCAGCACTAGAGAGGCAGAGGCACAAAGACCAGTAAGATGGCTCAGAAGGTGGAAGCACGCCTTGTGAGCCTGGCAACATGAGTTCCATCCCCCAAACTCACCTAGGTTGAAAAAAAAAAACTCCCAAGACTTGTCCTCTGGCCTCTACATGGGTACCACGGCAGCACACTTGTGCCTTACTCACTCATATATGCAACAACAATAAACTAACCCTTTACAGAAAGCTCCTGAGCCAAAGGAAGCAAGCAGATCACAACAGATTTTGTGAATCTCAAGTGAATTTGGGATTTTCCAGGCTCTGTTCCCCTCCAGTGGGGACAATTTGGTGTTCTGATAAACAAAATAAGCCTGGGGTAGACAGCATACCATGGGAAAGAAGGCTACTCTGGCCTGAATCCTCCCCGTTTTATTACAGAAAGTACAGGTCCCAGCCCCACCCACACTGGTGAGCTGGCAGCCATGGAGGTACAGTCCAAAAGACTGGACCAGGAACCTTGGGAGCCAGGAGGACAGGAGAAGGAAGAGTCTGAGGATGGAGAACCTGCCCCAGCTTACCTGAGCCAGGCCACAGAGCTCATCACTCAAGCCCTTCGGAATGAAAAGGCAGGGGCTTATGCTGCTGCCCTCCAAGGCTACCGAGATGGGGTGCACATCCTGCTTCAGGGAGTCTCGGGTGAGTATAGCAGTAAGGAAGACAGGGCAGTGAAAAGCAGAGGGGTTGGGGAGATGACTGTGTGTAGTGCCTTGCCATGCAAGCATGAGGAACTGAATTAGAATGCCCAGAACCCAGCCGGGCGTTGGTGGCACACGCCTTTAGTCCCAGCACTTGGGAGGCAGAGGCAGGCAGATCTCTGTGAGTTCGAGGCCAGCCTGGTCTACAAGAACTAGTTCCAGGACAGCCTCCAAAGCTACAGAGAAACCCTGTCTAGAAAAAAAACAAAACAAAAAAGAATTCCCCAAACCTACACAAAGTAGCATGCAACAGCACACTCAGGAAGCCAAGTGTTCCTGTGGGAAGATGAGAATCCCCAGAAACTCCATCCAGGGCTGGTGAGTCTGGCATATGCAGCAGACAACAACAAAGAGACCGGGTCTCAGACATGATGGAAAGAGGAGACCTACATCTGAGGTTGACCACTGACCTTTATATGTTCAATTTCACACATACACGAAATATTTTAAAGAAAAAAAGAAGGACCAGGAGCCTTCATTTGTCACAGGTCAGCCAGAGACCTTGGGTGGAATTTTCTTTAATTTTTTAATAGCCTCATAAAATGGGGAAAAGACATTATGACCCAGGGAAAGGCACATTCAGGCCAGGGACTCTGGAGGCCTTCTGCTCTCTACAGGTGACCCATCCCCTGCCCGACGGGAAGGTGTGAAAAAGAAGGCAGCTGAGTACCTGAGGCGGGCAGAGACCCTCCATGGGCAATTGCCTTGAGGAGTGGACCCTTCCTGGGACATCAGCTCCAGCACTGCCAGCCTCCTCCACTCAGTCTTTCCTTGGGACCTGGCCTTGTTTCCTGCTCTTGGAACCCCAGGGGCCATATCTGTTTTAACTGGACCAAGTATGAGAAAAGCAAAGACTTCTCAGCTCCAACCTGCCTGCCTCTTTGGAATCAGACTTGAACTTCTGGTCCTGCCTGTCTGTTTTATGTCTATTCACCCATCTAGAACAAGGGTCTGCAGCCTGCAGTCTGTGGCCAGACCTAGCCCACTGCCCTTTTTTGTAAGACCCTCAAGCTACAAGGGTTTTTCTTTTTTCTTTTTGTTAATGGTTGGAAGGAAAATGATTCTTTGACCAGTGAAAAATTTATAAAATTGAAATATGTGTGAATAAAAACGAGTCCGAACACAACCAGGTCCGCATGATTATTACTGTCTATGGTTGAGTTTACATTGTACCAACTGAGTTGAATAAGCTGTGTCTAGCAAATGAGTGTGGGGACCACACCTTTAACCCCAGCACTCAGAAAGCAGGGGCAGGAAGATCTCTATTGAGTTCAAGGCCAGCCAGATAGAGCTACATAGTGAGACCCTGTCTCAAAACAAAACGCTTAGGGAGGCTATCTCGAGGGAGACAAAGAATGACAGGCCCACCGCACTAGTTTAGTGTGTAAAGAGATAATGGAGAGATAGGCAAGGCAGGGTTACCTATTTCGACAGCCCCAAGTACAAAAAGCTAAAATCCACTAAATCCCGGAAGACCTGGGGAGGTGTGGCCTCATCGCTGGACTACAAGCCGGTGCATCATGGGACGGCTTAAAGGGGAAAAGCCGAGGCCAGGCGCGGTGGAGGATGAGAGGCGTTTCCGAAGCCCGTGGGAGCCAACGTCTTCCGGCATTGCGGTGTCTGGGAAACCCGGGTGAGCGGGGGCGGGCCAGCCAAACTGGGCCCCACGCGTGTTTCCTGAGCTCACAAGAGGATGCAACGCCACGTGTCCGCTGGCCCCGAGATGCTCAGTGTGCTCCG